ATCTGGGCGCCATCCCCGAGCGTGTCTTAATAACGTAATGATTTTTCAGTTTTTGCTATCTTCTTCTACAATTGTTTTCAAATTGGTGTCAGAAAAATCCTGTAAACGCGCATAACTCTTTCGTGACTGAATGGCAGAAGAAAAACTAATGAAAATGGAAGACGTACGTTTTGGACCGGAAATATGAATTGCACACCAGACTCAAGTTGCGAATTGCCATCCTTTACTAACAGGTTGTAGTACCTATCTATACCTAGGTCTCAGACTACAAGTAAGACAGTAAGCTTAGAATTCGCAGTAGCTATTTTTTCAGTATTCCTGTTCATTCCCGAACTGTTTAAGGAGTTATCCACAATATCAAGTTTGATAGATGCACATTGTTTTTAATCTTTTAACAGTTAACCACTCCTTAACTTATTGAGGATCGTCTAATCCTTTATAGTTTTGTATGGTTGTCCGTCCTTTTGTATGTGTTCGCTATAACTCTTGGTTAAGATCCCCAGATGTTTTTTATAGCTTTTAATTTTTGCCCGCCCGTTCGTAACTCTTTTTAAAAGTGGCCGAAATTTGGTGTACGAGTATTTTGGATATTACGGTAGGAACAAAAGTTATAGGACTTTGAGTTCATCGGGAACAGGAGAAACTTAAAATCGTGGTATGTGCGCCAAGATCGTTGGGGAAAAAACTAAAAGCACTATCTCAATGTGTAAGACATGAATGCGCCATATAGTTTCATCAAAACGTGTCAAAATCTGGTTAACAAGACATACAGGGATGTATTCAGCTTTCCTCCGCCTGAATATACATTTAGCAATAAATGTAAAGGATTATGAAATAACCGAAGTGTTTCAACACTAAACTTGCAGCTGAACGTGTTGTTTTGATTTTGAATTATCCTGATGTAATGGTGTTAGTTTTAATTCACGAAAGTTATAGATTCAAGGATAGCATTGCTGAGCCATGACCTCAAAAGTTCGATACAAGTTTAGGATCGGCGAGGCAAGTGTAACAACTTTCATATTCGCATACCTAATTTAATTTCATTTTCACAATGCTCTTTCGGCAAAATCAATTACTTGCCATTTGATCTAATTACTTAATAGACCAGATTTGACGGAGGTACATGTCATTGGCAGTGGTATTCCAAGAATGCATTGGTCAATAATGTTGCTTGTTGCAATCAAATCAGTATAGTGTAATTATTATTGTTACAATCATCACGTACTTGATGCAATGTTCGTGAGTAATTTTACTTAGCAAACATCGCGTGTACGTTTTTTTAAAGTGCGGTAAAACGAGAAAAGAGATAATCTACCCATCTTGAGAGACGCATAAAGTTCAAAGTTTGTCGAAGGAAAAGGTCGGAAAACTTCTTGAAAAATGAGATTCAATTTGTCGGCAACGGAAGTTTAGGTATTTTTTTATGTTGCAACAAAAACAGTTTTCGACCAATTTAGATAACCACGTTTTCTAGATGATAAGTATTTTCTAACTCTTTTATGTTGCTGTATATACCCTTTTTTCGTGAAATGAGTTTCACTATGTAATAAAATTTGCATAGGAAAACTATCGGCAGGGATAATAAAACAATAAAGGGGGTAAGGGATAATAGGTACATGCAATAATCTCATTTACAAGGACTCGGATGTTACATTAGCGAGTTAAGCGGAAGGTTCTTGAGGTGCTAGTCATAATGTAATAATGAACGCTCTGCGGAAATATGCCTACGCTAATATTGTGTTTTCCCCATTTTAGGGGGTAATTTCAGCGCAGTCGATGGCAAACTCACTCTCATTGTAGTGACTGTTGAAAAGATTTAAAATATTTCTACTGCTATTATTTTAAAATGTAAATTTATAACTGGCAAGATTCTAGAAGTGTTCTACTTGTATATTTCAGCGACTTGTCATTGATCACTATTCATTAGCCGATAGCCGTTGGTCGGTAATTAATTAATCATAGTCAACATTCAATAATTAAAATGTGACAAAGGACTACCTATAAACTTACTCCTACTTTCGGGGCCCTGCCCGATCTCCACTTCTGACCCAATAGATAAATGGTACCGAATGATTCACCTTCACTTCGAACCAGCCTTGATGACTTAGCACCTATTAAGATATGCATCGTGGAGAGAGTAACTTGGGCCTTCACTTTCTTACTCAATTGCTTATCCAATTGATCTGTACTCCAATTGCAGTAAAATTGTTTGTGACAGTAATTCCTCTCAAGTTAGGATGCTGCTCTTGTACGAAAGGTGCTCCATGTGACAACATACATCTTAATTTCGTTGGCTAAACGGCCAAACCGGTGATAGGTCTCTTTGGCATAAAATCTTTGTAGCTTCTTCGTAAGATTCAGCGCCACTCAGCTTCTTTGGAAAAACTGGGAAGATACAAGGAAAATAACAATGAAACCAGATATGGAAATAATTCCTCAACGACAGTCAAAGTTAAATTAATAACTTAATTAAATTTCCCCTCACAATACAAAAATATCCCTCGCTAATACAAAATAATTCCTCATATATCAAAAATATTTCAAAATTTAACTGAAATCCCAATGAAACCCAAACTAAATAATCTCCTTTATTCGATCGTGATTGATGATAGTAAGGATTTAATTCGCACTTAACATTTAACTTGAATGACTTAAGAACAAATAAACCCCTAAAGTGTTTAAATTGTTAAAATGATTATCGTTGGAATGTCCCTTAAAGAGCAATTATCTCAAATAATTATTAATTATTCAATTTTAACATACTCGACCAATTGATCTAATTTCTTATCGTCGTTTCTAGCTCTGTTTGTTTGATTTTATTTCCGGGGAGAACCCATGGGTACACACACATTCCACCAGATAGCAGTTGCCTGACTGACAAGTGGATTGATAAGGGACCGGTATCAATTTTGAATTTCAGCGTGGTTGTAAAGTTGAACTTGAGATTACACTTGTAATTAAAATTGAACATACACTTGAAATACAGACAAAAAAAAGAACCCTACAAACAATCGCACGTAATTTCCCGTAGAATTTACCTACAGACTTCTAACTAAGGAGGGGGTTACTCAAAAAGCAATGGTATGACAGCAACGATTAACTCCAATCGGGTCGAAGTTCATGTACAGCGGATAACATTTTCTAAAAGGCCGCAGATAACCAAGGGTTTAACCAATGTCGACTAACTTACATATTAATTCATCCTAATTATATCCTCCAGATCGGAGAAGATTGCCTAAGCTCGCTTTTAAATTATATCGAGACTATACACAACAAAATAGTCGATCGCCAAATCAATGTTCAATAATTTGCAATGAACCCCACATGGATTATTACTATTGCTATTGCAGCTCATTGCCGCTATCCGTATCTCGTTTCAGCTCGATTACTAAAACACCAATTAATTTAAGCTCTATCTGAGCCACTATCAACGCACGAATCTCTTCGCATTGACACTTTCAGGGCTGGCACCTGAAAATCGAATTCCGCGATGTCAGCCCCTTTTTTACCAAGCGGTGCTTAGTTTGCAAAGTTACAGAAGTAACTTAATACGACCGATTTTCAGCGTGTAATTCAAAACCAAACCGTGTAAAAAAATGACTAAAGCTCGCCGTATTACAAGTTCATAAAATAAAAACGTGAACTTAACATAAGCAATGTTTGTTTGGTGGAATGTTCTTGAAACCTTGACCCGTTTTAAACTTCCGCAAAATTTAACAGGAAAAATCGCAAAACAATTTAACGCAAATCTCATTGTTAAACTTATCAGTTCAATGAAAAATCGTGTTATAAACACTACCTCTTTGGTTAGCTTGTCCAAGGCTTTCTGGATAGAATCCTTTGTGTGCCCATTTCTTGTTTTTATTCTAGTTAGTATACAGGCTATTGTTGTCGCGTAGTTTTTCAAAACAAATGCAAAATGGTGGAAATCAGCACGTAAGTAACGCTATGCCTATATAGATACGTACCTAATCTTTATGAATACCGCCTCGGCACCCAATAATGGGGGGCTGGAGTGTATGTTCTCATAAATGGAGTAGGAATGTTGGATGAAGTCATTGGAGGTGTGGACTTGTGGAGGCTGTGGAGCTAAATCCGGAAAGGGTGGGATTTTCATCTTTTAACCAACCCCATTTTATAAGTTACTTACTAAATAGTAACTATTCATTCATAATTTTATAAAAAAAAGAGGAAATATTAATTTAGGTTTTATGTCCCATTCGTGTAAATAAGAACGACTGTAACTGGGAATTTGCAATAATCGCTTCGAAAATGGATTAAATGCAGCACGGTGCTTTTCATTTCCATTTAAAAAAAGAGCCGACTTCAAATTTATTTGACATTAAATTTTACATAAGGCGTAAAAAGAAAAGAAGGAAAATCTAGAAAAAGTAAATGAGAAAACGTAAATTTTAAATTGTAAGACAGTTTTCATTTACATAAATACGATAAGCTGTTATAACCACGTCAGAGGACTTATAGTGCCTTGAAGCTGAAACATACGGCACAATATCTCTGGTTTTATCTTAAACGTTTTACGTCCCAAAACCCACCCTTATTTTACTAGCTAAATAATTCCGAATTTTATTCCTTCCATCCTCTTTCATTCGCGTAGGTGCGCGAAAGATAATGCTATTAAAAGCGGTTGAGAAAACTCATAAAACATCTCGATATGAAATTTTTCTCTCGAGCTTTGAAATGCCTTCTCACTTTCTGCGAGTGTTTTATAGCTCCGACAAGTAATACCGGGATTGTAAAGTTTCAGATTTCTACGATACTTCTTAACGCCTAAAATGATGGTGCACGGCAACACATTTATCACGCCGTGGTAGAATGGGTTGCATAACACATTACAATTCTTGACTTCAATCATTAAATTCTTATCCAACCTTCGGCTCTTTACGTGCTTCGGTGAAAAATAAATATGTATATCTTTTTATATTTATTTTACGAGTGAAAATTGAAAAATGATCACTTCTAATTCTTTTTTTTTGTTTCAGGTATCTACAGAACAAAAATACCACCTATAATAGTAAGTTTTTTTACGTGGTTATTTTCACTTAGTTTCAGTACCTGTACAAAATTGCAAAAATTTGCAAAAAATAATAATTATAGAGGCCTAATGGTATAAGAATATCGGTATCTAGTGTAAAATCGCTTAAAATTTTACATGCACGTGCGTACGATGTGTTGCCTATATGGTAGGCGCTGTTGTCCACTATTTTCTTATCGATTTTAAGATTTGATCGATTTGATCTTCAAAACAGGAATATTTTATTGGGAAATAAAATTTTTTAAATTTTGAAAATGAATATGTACAGATATAGTGTGCTCAAACACTCACCGATCATTAGGCGTCGATGCGCCCCCTTAAATGTACAAAATAACGAATCGTTAAACGTTAACAATTCATGTCTAAGAAGTGCAAACGGTATCTTACAATCTCCCGGATAACCCCTAGTCGTTGCTTAAAGGGAAGTCACTTGACGTATCGATAAAAATCTTCCATTCAGTATTTTAGGGTTGTTTGTCGTTGGAGCAAAAAATTCAGGGTTTTTTATTTCCACAAAGGCTAGACTTGTTACATGTGACAGGTTACGTTGGGATCTTATGGAAAACAGGTGGCAAACGGTGACGCTTACTGCTTATAGTGTAAAACAGCAGCATTCGCACCGTCGCCGTCGCGTCGGTGCTCTCTGAAAGACGTGGCGTAGAAAAGTCGCCTCCGGAATATTCGACTCCAGGAAGATTCGTCCCCACGATTCGCGGGTGAAATAGTCACCGCTTGTAAGGTTTGGCTCCCATCAAACTCTCCGAAATTTTCGGCACAGAGAAAACTTTCCAAAAAGTAACGGCAATATCACCGATGTCACACTATATCTCGTAAGGGTTGTATTTCAGAACTGCGTAACCCACCAATACTCATATTATGACAGATCAAGAATTGGGGGCGAAAATCAAATTTTATCAGTGCAGTTTTTAAAACTTGCAAAAATGTTTGGCTTTAAAAATTGTTTGTGGTTAAAACTTCCCCGCATGAATCTTTTAAGAACAGATCTACTGGTGGCGAATAGTGCAATAGTGCAACAAACATAAAGTGACTGATCCCCCATGAAATTCTGGGAAATTCTGTATACTATCAACTATCTACCATTTATGTTAAAGGATCAAAGGTATGACCTTTATACGTTACTAATTTGGTCATGTAACAGGGGTTACATTTCAGGATGAGGAAATCCCTGATCGATTTATTTAATTTTGACTGTTTACGGTAATATTATTGTAAAATGTATCCACTCAACTTTACTCAAATACGTTGATACAATCTCCTTACTAAAATGAGCTTATTTGTTTCCAATCTTAAAATTCAAAATGATCTCTTCATCCCTCGACCATCTTGATGGCAAAGTTAACAAAGTCAGCATCAAATAAAACTGATACAAAACACATTAACCCCAATTCGAATCGAAATTATGTTCATTCTAAATTAAAAATCACATTATTTTAACGTCCAAAATAAATGAAATTTAACACATATAGGGTGATCCATACTGATGTAGGTGCTGAAACCAAATTAAACTTCCAATTAACGTAGTTCACACATCTGTATTTAACTCAGTTAGAAGACTTCCGGTACTGATATTGAACTGAAAATGGAAAACTTCTAACCGAGTTCATATGCAAATTTTAGTTTACATACTTTTAAACGTTTCACACGATTATAAAATGATTGGATCGAGTCTTTCAAGAACGCTTCTTATTTTCTGTAAGACACCAGTTTATATTTTCGCAGGAGAGACAGTGCGTACAAGAAGGTGACATCTTTTTATAAGCATCGATGTCATAATTTACTTAACATCATTCAATTCTTTCATATATGAGAGGCTACCTTAAATCAATCAATCATAACCATTAACATCATTCACCCCAAATTGTCAGGATCATCTAGGCCTCTAACAGTACCTGGCGCACATGGTCCCGGAAGCACTCACGTTGAAAACATAACTTCCATGGAGGGGGCCTTATGACTCCCGGGCTCACCGGGGCCTGAAATGGCTTTCTTCCATACAGGCACTGTATATCTAGGTCCAAGACCACGTATCCTCTCGTGTGATAATAACCCACCCTAATGAACGAGGACAAACACGAGTCTTTCAACGCGGTGGGCTCAGACAGCTCAGGCAGGGGATGCTTACACTGATCGGCCGCCTAGCACGCATCCTAGGCTACGGAGTGTCCAGCGTAGTTTCATACGGGGAACGCTTCCACCGAAGTGATGGGTGTAACGAATCCTGGGGTACAGAGCACTGTCATCGATCAAAAGGCCCTTGCGCACCCCTAAATTGGCCCAGAGCACTTACTGCCGTAACGTGACTGCAAGTGAGATTATGTTGGGAGGCCTTTTCCAGGTGTTTAGACGCCCATCTCGTCACAAACAAAAGACTAGTAGCATCTACAGGACCAGCCTATTCTCCATTTGGTAAGGAGCCTTTCCAACATCGGCTGGGTCGAACGTAGCTTCCGTGAGTGAACGCCGGACCCAGATCCCCCAGCTACAGGCATAAAACTGACGCCTCGCCCCCGACGTACGCCCGGCGAGATAGGAGACCTTCCGACGTGGTCGGGTGCCCACTAATTTGTTCCAATTAAAGACATAGCGTTCAACACCCCTAACTCTAACTAATGATAAACATACCCTCACACTTGAGACGAGAAGGTACCTTCAATAATTAATACTAATAACTCTCATAATCTTATACGTAAATCATATTCATAAAATTCCTAAGGAAAGGGTACGCCTTTGCCCTTTTATTACGATCAATGAGCATAATTACATTCATACAATAATTATGCAAGCAATGGCACTAACCTTAGGTAGATTCATCGAAAATAATCTCCCCTTTTGAATTCGTAGTCGAAATACTAATTATTGGCGCCCTTCATTGTCGTGATCGATGAGTAACTTACCCTCATCGTTGGTTCCCTACCCATCCACAATCCAACACAACAACAAAAAAACCACGAGTATCTGAGTCACCTCATAACACGGTTCTAAAGCTGGAGAATAATCCGCGGCCTCTGGGAATACAAACCTAAAAAGTCCAAATCGGGGAAAATATCATAATCCAAGTAATATCTCCTGCCCAAAAATTGTCGTCACTTGTTATGTTTTTCAACTGCCTCCTTCATGACCATCTAAGATATCCGAAGCGTTAGCATAACAAATTTGTGTTGAATTTAAAAGTTTTTATCCACAATCACCTTATAATTGAAGTTTTATCCACAGTTATGAGCCGCATAAAGTACCACGTTATGCACTAGAATGCTGGAATAATCAAATTACTTTATAGTCCAGGAAATGTATAATTTTAGGATGCAAAATTCATGGTAGTTCTGAACATAGGCTTGTTTTATGTTTTATGTGTCTATGAATCCGAATTTTCAGCTTCCCACCAAAAATTCCCCCCGCAACCCCCCCAAATTTTGAAAAAAGAAAAAAATCCGTTATGTTGTGTATTTCAGAGAAAAACTATCTGGAAATTTGGAAAGTAGATAAAATTTGAGACAAAAAAATCATATGATATTTTGACGTAGGGCGAATGGATAGAGCGTTAGCACTTCTCAGAATATGTGCCTTGGTGCCTTACGCACGCTGGAACATTAGACGATAACTGCGTGATTTTGGCCACTTTCGCGACCTTGCCTGTTTATGGCTGACTGTCATTTTCAATTTCTTGGTTCATCCCCTCCCCTGAAGAGCGCAGAAAGATTGCGAAAGGAAAGAAAGCAGTCATCGGTTGACTTAATTTTTTATGAATCTATGACTCCTTGTTGGCCAGGCAAATTTTTTATCCAACAGCAGAAATAAACATCGCCTCATTGAAATGATTAAAAGGAAGTCGACAGTGCGACAAGCTGACGAAGACGCAGACTGTCTCATAAATTGAAATGGCATCAATTCATCCATCGGTGATTATTGTCGGCGAAGATATACATTTATTAGTTCTATTAAAATCACATAAATCTGATGGTCCAGCTTTTCTAGAGTCCGAAAACACGGAAGAATTGTCAGATTAGTCGTTTCTAAACTTCCTTTTTTTGTCTTCCTTCAACAATGGATCAATCAATCTACTTTAACAACGGGACTTTGAAATAAATTAAATCTTTTTCGTGGATGAACCTAATTTTCAGCTGTGGGCCTTCAGATGCAGTTAAACGGAAAAGAGTCGGTAACTTAAACTTTTTTACCGCATTTTTTAAGAATTAAAAAAATGTGCTATTGTTTGCATTTTGTCCGTCCGTCCGGACCCACTTCTGCCGTTTTGAACTACTTCTAGGGGAATGGTCCTAGAGTCCTGGAATTTGGAACTAGTTTTATCCTTCATGGTACTCTAATGAAAGGTCTGAACGAAAGGAATTAATTTCTACCAACCATAGCCCTCCTCCTTCTCTTATCTTGATCGAGTATATTCTCTTATACCTCAAGAACGGATTGTCGGAAGAGGGTACTCACAAAGGGCCATTGAAACGTCTGCAAGAAATATATCCATTGGTGATGTCAAACAACAATGCGCTTTATCTGTACAAGAGTTGTCTACAATTTATACCTACTTGTTTAAATATGTACACATGTGTTCTTAATTCTGAAATTGTCTGAAAATAGGTGGGGAAAAGTTGGAGGTTGAGGGTTGACTTCCAGATGTTGGAAAATAAGAGAAATTAAAGGAGGGGGGTGGTTAAAACGAAAGATAAAGCGGATGAAGGGAGAGTGAACATGAACACGAACGCCATGGGTTGTTAAGTGAAGTGCGCCTGAGTCGCCAATGAGCATACTTCAACGCACGCCAGCGCCCCCTACGGTCGAAGTACGTAAAAATCTTTTAGGACGTTTTTGGTTGCATAGTATATATGCATTTCAAAATTGTAAGTATTTTATTCGTGAAACCACACAAAACGATTTCTTAAAAAAACATTTTTTTTATTTTTCAAGATTTGGGGGGGGTTGCGGAAGGAATTTTTGGTGGGAAGTTA